CTGTTGGCGCCACCTATCGCTCTCCTGTCTGTGCACCATCACCCCCTCGTGCCTTTGCGATCGTCCCGGATGATCAGCGATTGGCCGCGCTTAACGTATTTCTCGTTGTCAGTCCGTCACCAGTTTCGCATCTGATCCACTGATCTTTAGCTTTTTTTCGGTCTCGGACGGAGTGGGATATTACGGTAATGTGCTAGGATGAATTATGCAACACACTAGAGTGGCAGGGGCGTACATCCTCAGGTCCTAGCGCCGTGTCCCCCTCCGGCTGGCCGTGCCAGCCAGATGTCATCCTGCAGCGTCAGCAGATACTGCCGGCGGCTTGCCGTGGAGCTGCAATGTGGACCGTTGAGGCATGCCGCCAACCCGTTATCCATAGTGATACGGGATCGTGCCGGTCCGTCGTTGTGTCGGCGGCGCCGCCGGTCTGCATGGAGGGCTGAACGGACGACCGGGCCGCTCGTCGTGCGGGATTGTCCTGTTTCTTCTGTCCCCTGTGCCATATGCCGCTACATGTCCTCACTCATGCAGGATCCCGTCGTGGCGTACCATGTCTTTCCAGGCAGGTTTTGGCGCTCGCGGCGCGTGCCGTTACCTGGCTGTGCCCCGAGCCTGCCGTCAGGGCGGATTGGGGGCGTCGAACCGGCTGAAGCTCGGCGCCGTCTCATCTTTGGGCCGCCGTATCTCGGTGGCGTGATCCGCGCTTATGCCGCGGAGACAAAGTTCGTGCATGCTTTACCAAAGCAGCACACGGCCTTGACAGGTTCCCGTCATGGGGCAGCAAGTGGCGCCGTCGCTACCTGGGAGGCATACGGGGGTTACAGACCCGCCCTTAGATCGGGTAGGCCGCTACTGGTTCCAAGAAAGGTAACGTCATGAGTAAGAAAGAAGGCAAAAGAGGCCGCTGCTAGACGCCAGACGAGATGCACAAGCTCATACGGAAGAGGGCGGGCATCAGATACGGCATCTCAGGCGTACGCAAGATGATGATATTTTGGGGGTATTCTCAAAAGGTCCCCGTAAGGAGGCGCGTCAGAAGGGCGTCACCTGATGCGATCGCAATGTTTCAGGAATGGGCAGGGCACATCATACCGAAGAGGATCAGTGAGGGCCATGTGGTGGCCATACAGGACGGGGTCATAGTGACCGACGATGCCAGACCCAGAAGGAGGATATTGCCACGAACTTGTTCCCTGCGGTATATGGGAGCCAGGACATCCTGCAGCTGACCCTAAAAGCCGTGCGCAAGCAACCCTGGCGTCCAAATCAAAAAAAAGAAAAAAGAAATTCTTCTAGTATTATACTACGTCTATCGTTATTGAGAGTTGTGGTGACAGTGCGGTCGGGTTGCTGACGGACTCCCACACGAACATGGTTGCTGTGTAGCTTCCTGTCTCGCTAGGCGTCCATGACTGTGCCGCGTTGAACGTGGCTCCAGCACCAAGGGCGCCGGCGAGCCATGTCAGCTGGACTGTGACTCCGTCCTCGTTCTGTATCTGGACTAGGTACGCAAAGTCCTGGTCCCTGTCCTGGCCGCTTGTGAGGTCGGCTGTGATCTGGACCTGCTGGTCGACTGATACCGAAGCCAGTACGTTGTTAAAGGCATCCACTATGGCCGGGTTTGATGCCGGCGCGCGCTCCAGTGGAGGTACGATAGATCCGATCAGTGTCGTTGCAGAGATCGCAAGGCTGTCGCCCTCGCCGTCAGGAGGTGGAAGCGTGTAGTCGTCGTACTCGGCGGTGACTATGTCACCCTCGGTGACCTGAAGTCTGTGCCCTTGCGAGGCGGACTCCGGATCGAACTCGACCGTGCCCTCAAAGATTCCGGACGCCTCTTGCGTCTCGGTTACCGTGAGCTCTATGCCGCCCAGGAATGTCTCTGAGTAGACCACGATGTCGTCGATGTTGTCCACTGCGCTTGGGTTGGTGTTCATGTCAGGATCGATAATTCGGACTATTCCGGAACCGGTCGCCGCGTAGCTTGCCTCAAGCCACTGCACCTCGCCGACGTTCCATCGGATAAGGGCAGAGGCCACAAGTGGGGCTTCCGAATCGGAGTACTCGAATGAGATACTGAGTCCGTCCTCGTAGTTCGTGCTGAGTGTGCCGTCTGTCGGTCCGCTGCCGCTTGTACCTGGCGCGGTGTAGTCGATTCGGTCGTACGTGAAGCCGGCAAGAGTTATCTCACCGGTGAACACGCCCGTGTCCGGGCCTGTCTCGGCGAGCTTGTATTCTTTCAGTCCGTCTCCACGCACCCTGATGGTGATCTCACCGTCGCCTTCGGGACCGATCTCGTCGATCACGTTGGAGTCAAAGTTGTAGTCGGTACGCGACAGCGGTGATGAACACCTTGTCGGTCCAAGTGTAGACGTTCTGGTCCAGCTCGATGGTGGCGCCAAAGTCAGATGTCTCGATTTGCAGGTCGACTTCTCTGTCGGTCTCGTCCACTCTGTCTGCACCTGACGGTCCTTAGTCTGTGTATGTGAGCGTGATCTCCTCGCCGCGCTCCAGCGCGTTGCCGTTGATCTCCTCGGGTATCGTGATGACAACCTGGAAGATTCCAGTGTTCACATCAGTCTCCCTGAGGTTTGACGGCACTGCTCCGAACTCTCCGAAGGAGAGGTCTGCCTTGCCTTCTGCGTCAGAGTCCCAAGCTATGATGTCCAGGGGAAGCGTCTCTTGGCTGTCGGAGTCCAGGTTTAGGTCTGGCTCTATCAGCGTCAGGAGGGCGTCCTGGCCTATCACGTAGGTTGACTTGTCTGACTGCAGCACGGCGTTTCTCAGGTCGAATGTGGCAGAGTCGGACACCGAGTTCTCGTTGCCCGATGCGTCTGTTGGGTCGTTGTAGGTTACGGTGATTATGCTTCCTTGCTCAAGGTTATAGTCTTCGTCGGTGGTTATGACCTCAGGGTGTACTCGAAGATGCCGGTGTCAACACCAGTCTCCTCAAGCGGTTTGTCCGCAGTGCCGAGTGTCTCTATGGTCGTTGATCCTACCTTCACGGTTACGGGTGCGTCGCCTTCGGTAACTGCGATGCTCTCCACGCTTGTGGATGACTCATCAAAGTCCCCGTCATCGACTGACACGTATACCATGACTGTCAGAGTCTGCTGCCGGTACCGGGTAGACGGTCCTGTCAAAGCTGACAGAGCCGGTGTCTGCACCGATCGTGGCAGAGTCGCCCCATTCGGTCGTTCCGCCGGATGAGTCCCTGAAGTCATAGTAGGTGGCCGAGATGTCTTCGCCTGTCGTTGAGCCGTTGCACTCCTGCTCGGAACCTCAAATGATCCCTCGAACGTGTCGCTGTCGTCTGCGGTCTCGCGCAGTGAGAAGTTCTCAAAGTCGTCTATTGTACAGCCGTCGGATATCTCAAGGTGCAGCAGGGTGTCTGCGTCTGTCTGTGCTCGTGGCGTCAACGGTGTATATGTCGATTGCGCCGGCGTCAACGTTAAGGTCGGGGTCCACCAGGTGACGGTCACCTCGTCTGCTACCCTGTAGGTAGCAGAGTCAAAGCTGACCTCGCCCGTGTATGTTGGAGCATCCTCTCTCACGTGGTCGCCGTCGTATGCGACCTCTGGTGCGCTGGTGCCGGTGTAGCCGTCGTCCAGTATGATGACCAGTTCGTCGTCCACGGCCACCACGTCATCGTACGTGCCCGCGTCGTCGACTGACAACTGGTTCAGCATCTTGTACTCGATCGTTCCCTCGAACACGCCAGAGTCGCTGCTGGTCTCTTCCAGCAGCGTCCTGTAGATGGCGTTGTTCATCGCATCTCCGTTCTCATCTGTGCCGAAGGTAAAGATCTCCAGCACGAACGTGGCCGACGTAGTATCGATCGCCTAGCTACCGCAGCCTTGGCTTTTGCAAGGAGCGATTTTGGGCTCTCAAACTCGTTCGGTCTCGTGACAGGAGGAGTCACCTTCATTAGGTTCAGTGGTAACCGCCTCGCCGCCTGCCTTTAGGACAGAAACGGCGCGTAATTATGGTCATCGGCATTACCAGCACGCATCAGTAAGCACAGTCGATTGCGCTCCTGAGGGTCGTAAGGGCGTTGTTGTTGCTTCAGCTATGCTGTTTCTGTGAGTCATCAGATCATCTGTCATTGCTCAATGGTCATTCATTTGCAGTCTGTAAGCTGCTCTCGAGTCGTCGTCATCGTCAATGGCGTTGTTAAGCGGTGTTCAGCACAGCGTTTGCAGTGCTATTTTCTGTTCGATGTTTGTGGTAAACGTTATCGAAAATTCGCCGTCAGCTTCTACTTGCGCCTGCACTCTTGTCAGGCCTGACTCTATGTCGGTGGTGTCTGTGGTGTTTTCGCCGTTGACTATGAGCTCGGCATCGGTACTAATGCTTTAGTCACAACGCCGTTCGGGTCTGGGTAGTAGTTGATATAGTGGAACAGGTTGGGGTTCTGGAACATTGCCAGAAGGTCTTCTGACAGTGTTGTGGTGAATGTGGTTTCAGTCAGTGATGCGGTCAGCGTAACCGTAGCGGTATCAGTACCGTCTTCAGTTATGCTGTCTCGCGGATTCTCGATTCAGTTAAAGGCACTCACCGTGGTGGGTGCTCCAAACGTCATTACGGGAAGCGCGGGATCGTCTATCTTCATGTCGTCGTCAGCCAGGGTGTTGATGTTGAGGTTCTCGTTGGTCAGCCTGACGGTAAGCGTGTCGCCTGAATTCCAGGTTCCGTCCGCCACCAGCTCCAGTGTGGAGTCAAAGCTGTCGACGATTACCTGCTGGTCGTGTCGTCGGCATATGCTATGGTGAAGGTGTCGCCGTCATTAGCGTCCTCGTTGATGCTTATCTCCGAGATGTCGTCGCTCTGGCTCTCAAACACGCACCGTGTTTGAACCAGTCTCGTCAATCACCACTCACCATCACTGTTAGCTTCTCGTATCTAAATTTGCGTCCGTGTCTGACCCGCTAACCTAAGCTCTCCGCTAGTGCCTGTAAGGGCAATAGAGGATGGGACGGGGTCTTGGTTGCAGTAGTATATAGAACGTTATTGTACGTTGCTGCATCACCGTCGGTCAGAGTCCAGACATCATCTGCAGTCGGATCCAGGTTTAGCTGGAAGTCGCTTATCGTGATGTGCACCTGGCCTTCTGCCGGCACGTCGTTCCTGTCTACGCTTATCGTGGCGATGTCGCTGTGATCGTCGTAGTCCAGGGTGATCGACTCGTCGCCGCGGTTGGCCGTGACTCGACGTCTCCGTCAAAGTCAAACGTTTGGACAGTCCAAAGTCTGCAGAGCAACTGGAGTCGGAGCGCCTGACAGGAAGCCTGCAGCTATCCCATAGGGCGACTCAGACAGCATTCTCAGCATTGAGAGGACTGGCCGCGAATGTCGCGTTGTTGGCAACATACGCATACCACTTTCCAGTGGTTGCTTGTCTCATCGTCACCGGATCTCGCCGTCTACCTCTACGTCTGGCTCTGCGTCATTTGCGTCATCACCGATCTCGTCCAAGCCCGGATCGTCGATTACGATCTCGATTACCTGTGCTCCGCCAAACACCCCGGCCGCTGAGGCCGAGACGCTGAGCTGTGTTGGTCACTGGGCTACGTGCCGTCGGCATGTTCGCCCGGTTATGCGATGTCATCCCACCTGCAACTGATGTAGGCAGAAGTGTTATACTATTAGTGTGTATCTGTATATCGTCGTTGTTCATATTATGTGCTATTCATACTGTCTGAGTACTCATTTAAGGGAGTATGGACGATTGATTCATAAAACAGGGTGTTTTTGGAACACGCTGCAGAACCTCCGCCCGGACGGGCACTGCGCACCAGCTGTCGCTGATCGGCAGGCTTGGATTCCCCTGACGGCCGCAGGATATTTGATCACTGATTTAGCTTGGCGGAGACTCCGCCGCGCAGGCCCGGCACGCCGGCGTCCGTTGCCGGGTCGGTGCCCCGCAGCCGACGGCCAGTGCACGCCAGGCCCCCATGCCACCATAGCTGTGTGTGTGCGAGCAACGAGAAACGCGCCGCGGCAGGGGCGCCTCGGACACGCGACCGTTCATGCCTAGGGAAACCGCATTCGACAGTACGTATCAGGTACTTTGCTCCCCGTCTCAGGAGTCCTTATGCCGTCACGGCAACCTCTCGCTATGGGTTGCACGCCAGCGTCACACAATCACCTCTGAGGTCTATCGCCATTGTAGTGCAATAATCACAGTGGGTCTCTATTTAGTTGCGTATGGTGGGCGGGTCTAGAGGGATTCGAACCACGACGCCGGTAGGGTATGTAAAGAGTCCTGGTGCTCTACCTGGGCTGAGCATAGTACTGTAGGACAGCAGAAATCGTTTTTTTATTAAAGTTGGGATTGCAGCCAAGCCGCGCCCGTCACGCCTGTGGGGCGTCGGATTGGGCATGGCCAGGCCTGCAAATTTTATCGTATTTGCCGTAATTTATGCCCAAACCTGCACAAAACGGTCAGAAATATCCAGCGGATCCGATCAGGCGGCGACCTAAGCTATTATGTCAGTTCTTGATCGTGGTCTCGATCGCGTCATACCTTTCCAGAATGGCGGTAAGTACCGTGGAGACCGGCAGGTTGTTCATCTTCTTCTTCTCGGCCAGGAGCTTCCTGTATGCGTCCAAGGTGATGTATACCGGAATCGAGCCGTTGCCCTCCAGCAGGCCACGGACGTTGTAGAGTGCGGTCTCCATGCCCCGCTCGGCGGACTTTGCAAACTTGGCCTTGTCCATGATGCTTCCCAGCGGTCCAAAGGGCATCGCATAGTCCACGGTCATGGTAACCCGGGTCAGGTTGTCGCCCCTTGCCTCAAACTCGTTGACGATTATCCATCTCTTGAACGGGCCGTCTATCTGCTTTGCGGATATCCTCTCCTCCTTCTCAAACTCGACGGTCTCGCAGTCCCACTCCAGGCGCTTGCCGCCAAAGTTGCCGATGATTCTGAAGGTCGTTCCCACGCCCATGCCTTCCTTGATGTCCATGGGAACCACGGTCATTCCCACCATGTCGGTCTTCAGCTGATCCGAGACATGCTCGGGTCTGGCAAAGTATGTAAACACGGAATCTATGGGAGCTTTGATATCGATTGACTTGGTAACGACGGTCAACGGTTGGAGTTTTCGTCTGTGATGATTTAAAGGTTTACCAGAATTTTTTGGGGGCGGATCGCGTCCTGCAGGCACGGACCTGGCCTGTGCCGAGCCGGGATACGTGCCCAGCCTGGCATCAATAGGACTTTAAGGGGCCTGCATCGACAAAAATTCTTGAAGGTGAGAATACTGGGGGCCGCCGAAGAGGTTGGCCGGTCAGGATTTCTGGTGGATGCCGATGGAACCAACCTGCTGCTGGACTATGGCGTCATGTTTGGGAGGCGGGGCAAGCCGCCGCAGTATCCGCTCCACGTAAAGCCCAAGGACGTGGACTCTGTCATAATAACGCACGCGCACCTGGATCACTCGGGCAACGTGCCGTCGCTGTTTGTGAGCGGCAGCGCCGGGGTGTACAGCACCCAGCCCACCATGGAGCTGTCCCGCCTGCTCATAGAGGACATGCTCAAGATCGAGAAGAACGCGCACACCTTTGATATTATGGAGGTCAACAAGATGATGAGAAACCACAAGCCGGTCGACTACCGCCAGAAGGTGTCCCGGGGCAAGGCCACCTTTGAGCTGAGGGAGTCAGGCCATGTGGTCGGAGGCAGCACCGCGCTAGTCGAGTCCGGGGGCAAGAAGCTCTTCTACACCGGGGACATCAACATCCAGGGGTCGCGAATGCTCCGCGGGGCGGATCTTGACATCGGAGACATTGATCTGCTGATCACCGAGAGCACGTACTCGCAAAAGGCCCAGATGCCGAGGGCCGAGTCCGAGAAGGGGCTTTTGGAGTTTGCAAACGAGGTGATGGACAGGAAGGGCGTGCTCTTTGTTCCGTCATTCTCGGTGGAGCGATCACAGGAGATTGCCTGCGTGCTGAGGAGTGGAAACTTCAAGCACAGGGTCGTAATGGACGGGATGGCGCTGAAGGTAAATGACATAATCCTCCGGCACCCGGAATTCCAGAGGGATCCGGACATCTTTTCCGATGCCGTAAGGCACGCAACGTCGATCAGGCACCACGGCCAGCGCAAACGGGCACTGGACGAGCCGTGCGTCGTGATATCGCCTGCCGGAATGCTGGTGGGCGGCAACGCGGTGTTCTACCTGCAGAACATGGCCTTTGACGAGAAAAACGGGATAGCATTGGTGTCATATCAGGGCGAGGGCACGCCGGGAAGGATGCTGCTGGATACGGGAAACGTGTCCACCCGGGGCAAGACCATGGCCGTAAGGGCCCAGGTAAAACAGTTCGAGTTCTCCGGACACTCGGATCGCAACGGCCTGTTTGACCTTATCAAGGGAATAAAGGGAGATCCCAAGGTTGTTACGGTTCACGGCGACGCCGAATCCTGCAGTACGTTTGCACAGGAGATCCATGAAAGGTTTGGCCTGCAGGCCCATTCGGGAAAACTGAACGAAGTGGTAGAGGTATAGGGTGCCGGCGGACAGGGTCGACGTGGATGCCAGCATCAACAGCGGCCAGGTATTCCTGTGGACAGAGTCCGGGGGCCTATGGTACGGCGTCAGCGGATCCGACGTCATCAGGGTGAGCCCGGAGCCGTTCAGGGTACTCCACACGGGCCCCGGATGCGACCTCTTCAGGATGTCAGACGACTACCCCCGCATACTGGACGAGATCTCCAAGGACGGCGCAATGAGGGGGGCAACGGAGCGGTTCGCGGGCCTGC